CTCTCTCTCTCTCTCTCTCTCTGTGTGTGTGTGTGTGTGGCATACGCAGTTGGGTAGGGAATGGAGTGGACACATGGGGGACCAATGGGAATTCTTCCTTCTGTAGCGTCATCGGTCTCCGGGCAGAGTTTTCTGCTTGATTTCACCAATCAGAAATCAGAGTTCAGAAAGGAGGGAAGGGGGCTATTTTCAGTACATTTAAAGACGTTAAAAAACACTGCGCTGCACTTTGAAACTTGTGCGCGGTGTTTCTTTGTTACCTGTGCGGCCGCTCACGCGCACAGCTTAGAGGGAACGCTGCCTGTGATGCCTCCCCTTTTGGTGTCGGCGCTGTCCTCAGTTACTGCATGCCCAACAGAACCGAAGCCCCCATTGCATTTTACTCCAGGACATTGTCCGCCGAGGAGCAGAACTACAGCCAATTGGACCATGAGGCTTTAGTTGCAGTGGCCGGAGTAAAAGGATTCCACGAATATCTCTATGGCCGGGATTTCGAACTGGTTACGGACCACAAGCCATTGTTGGGTTTACTGGCTGGAGATCGCCCCACCTCGGTATCATTATCCCCCCACATGACCAGGTGGACTATTTCCCTAGCTGCCTATTCCTACTATCTCATTCACTGACCTGGCTCCACTTTAGGTCACGCAGATGCCTTGAGCCACTACCCATTGCCTGAAATCCTTGCTGACCCCACCCCCAAGACGTTGGTCCTCATTGACTGCCTGGAAACTGGACCCATCTCATCTAGTGACATTGCACACCACTCTGCAAAGGACCCCAAAATAAAGCAAATTTTGAACTGGGTGTGAAGGGGGTGACCCAAGGGGCCTGTTGGGGCTGATTTCAAAATGTATTTTGCCAAATGTGATGAACTGTTGGTTATTAATGGGTGTTTGCTGTCGGGGGACCTGGTAATTATTCCCAACCAACTGCACATTGCAGTACTAGAAGCATTACATGTAGAGCATCCGGGGATCGTCAGGATGAAGTCTCTGGCAAGGAGTTACGTTTGGTGGCCTAACATGGCCAGGGACAATGAAGAATGGGTGGCCACATGCACATCCTGTCAGTCCAGACTGGCTCCCCCAGAGGCGCCCACTAAGGAGTAGGAGCGACTACAAGGACCATGGTCCTGGGTGCACATTGACTTTGCTGGACCAGTTCATGGCCAAATGTTCTTCATAGTTGTGGACGTTTACTCAAAATGGTTAGAAGTAGTCCTGATGACTTCCACTACAGTGAAATCGGTCATGAAGGTACTAAGGAGACTCTTCTCCACGCACAGCCTGCCCAATGTCTTAGTCTCTGACAACGGGCCGCAATTTATGGCTATGCCATTCGAGACCTTCCTAGCATCTCAGGGAATCAGGCATAACCTGGTCGCGCCATTCCATCCAGCCTCCAATGGTCAGGTGGAGAGAATGGTAAGATCCGCAAAAGAGGCCCTTAGTAGGATGGGCCCAGGTGATTGGCAAACATTAATTGACCACTATTTACTGATTCAACACATCACACCCAGTGCTACCACTGGGAGAAGCCCCTCTGAGCTTCTCATGGGCTGCCGTCTAAGGTCTCACTTAGACCGGCTACATCAAAATTATTCCACCTCAACACCCGCTGACTCCACAAGCAAGGTTCAAGCTTTTGCCATAGGAGATTCGTTATACACCTACAACTACACCAGGGGAACGCTGTGGGATTCCTGCCACAGTAATTGGAATTACCGCTCCTCAATCATATACAGTAGAGCTCGAGGACGGTAGAAATTGGATAAGGCATATTGACCAACTCCGCAGCCGCATGTCCAACTCCACGCTTAGACAACCAACAGTAAAACCGCGCAAAACAAAATAGCAGTCCTTCTATGTCAACTCAAGCCCGAGAATATCGGAAGACTTATCTGATTTTGATGCAGGCCTGTAGCAAGCTGAGTGAGTTAACTCCAGAAGCTCCAGCCACGACTTGTGAAAAGTTCCAGGAGCTTCCATCAGGCAGAACCGCAGAGCAAACAAGTCCATCCGACTTGTCCGAAGGAACCACCAACACTGAACTGCGCAGGTCAGGCAGAGCCACGCAAAAGCCCATCTACCTGCGTGACTATGTCACCAGTTGGATTGCTCTATCCTAGAGGGGAGGGGTATTAGATATAACCCCCCCCCCCATTGACAGAGGTTTCCACCAAGGTCCTCTGTTCTGGTGGGAACAGAGGTTTAATCCCATTGGTCAAATGGTCTGACAGATCACTTTAAAAGGGGATGCTGCCAGACTCTTCGCCAGCCGGATGTTTACCTGACTTGCAATAAAGAGCTGTTGTTACTGGAGCCTTTGTGTGCCTGCCTTTACCCAATCAAACACAAAGCCGTATAAAAAACGAAGTCATACCACCCATAAAAATGGCTTAAGTCTATTCCAGGGGTGAAATTCTGAAGAACCGGTAGTGGAAATTTTGAGTAGTTCAGAGAACCGGCAAACACCACCTCTGGCTGTCCCGAGTGGGGTGGGAATTTTGCAGTATCCTTCCCCTGCCATGCCTACCAAACCATGCCCACAGAACTGGTAGTAAAAAAAATGAATTTCACTACTGGTCTATTCATATATCAATCACAGATGGTGTCTGTAAATAGGCTATGTTTCTAGACTGCAGGGGATTTTCTTCCGATTTAGCAAGCTTGATATTAGAAAAAATAATGGCATTGCTCATGTCAAATGTGTGTATCATTTGTCATTAAGTGTCCTCTCATAAAAGTGTACATCGTAAATGTGCTGAGCATTTATTTGCAAAAATATTTAGATCCTAATGTAAACACAGGAGGTTCCCCATTGAAAAATCCCATCTAGGTTTATTTAGTGCATGAAATGGGCCTTGTCCTTTTAGACAATTCAAGAATCAAAGGGAAGGAGAATCTGTAATGGAGGACCCAAAGGTGCTTTTTCTGGAGGCAACTGGATTTTCTTATTTTTTCTTTGAAGACATTTCACTTTTCATCCAAGAAGCTTGTTTGGCTGGATGGTGGGGAATGGATGGATTTATATTCCATGTTGACTAGCTCTATGCAAGGAATATAAATCCTTCCATTCCACACCATCTGCAAGGAATATAAATCTTTCCATTCCCTACCAATCCAGTCAGAGCTAAAGAAGCTTCTTGGATGAGAAGCAAAATATCTTCAAAGAAAAAACAAGAAAGTCCAGTTGCTGCCTGAAAAAGCACCTTTGCGATAACCATGACTTGGATGACTGAGAATCTCTGCAGACTATAATGGAGGAACCATCAAATTGTACTGTTTTGAACCCATTCCATCAGGCTGGAGGAAGGACATTGTCAGGGAAAATATGCATGGCAGCTCTGGGACGGGAACCCTTCTTCACCATTCTGGGCAGCTACGCAGGAAAGAGCTGTTTTCCAAAGCTATCTTGGTCAGTCCTTGCACCCTGTTTTCCTGGTGTAGCCCTGGGGGACACCAGTAGAATAGCAAATTGAAGGAACTTTTTTTTGCCAGCCAATCAAAAGTACGAGATAAGAGGTCATACATTCTGTCTGCTATCTTCTTCTCTGTAACAGAGCATCATTTTAGTAGTAATGGTAATAATACCATTTCAGATCATGCTATAGTTAACAATTGTTTGAAAAACGTGTCTGAACCACCTATCGGCTTCAATTAAATCCATGTTTATTTAAAAGAGAACGCACACAAAACCATTTTTATTCTAATTAAAGGACACAGCTCTACAAGTGAGTAAGAATTAACCCAACATCCAGGCCATTTGGGAACTACTTCTGTGGTGCTCAAAAACATTTGCAGACTTCCTTCCCCTGCCCTCTAATTTTAACTTCTTTAGAATGTGATGTTATCTCCATTAACTGGTTGAATTTGGAGTGCCTGCTGCAGAATCATTTTAAAATCCTATGGAAATAAGAGAAAAATGAATCAGAAAGATGCAACTATATAGCTACCTGATTGCTTTGATCAACAAACCACTGATTTGGTTACCAAAGCAGTTTTTCTCACAGCATTAAAAAAAATATCATCCCACATAAATGTATTACTTCTTTAGAAACAATTGGCTAAACCTCTAATGGATGCATATTAATTTAAAATCTTTGCTTGTGGTAAAAAACTAATCCATCCAGGTACATCCAAATATCTAAAGAATGGACATTGTGTCATGACACCACATTTCATCCTTCTGATGAAAAATCATGGCTTCCTTTAGATTAGTGTTTTTCAACCTTGGCAACTTTTAGATATGTGGACTTCACCTTCCAGAATTCCTCAGCCACTATGGACAAGCATGTTTGAAAACACTGGTCTAGATGCCTCTGAATACACTTAAGAGAAAATTAAACCATTTTCCATCCATATTGTTAGGGAGGTCCTTTTACTGACTGTAAAGATATGGTTTCATTTTCTCTTATTTTTAAAGCCACAAATTATAATCTTATTATCAAACTTGCTATGCTCAGTTACATTGGCATTTATTTTATTATGAAGTTGCTTTACAAAAATATAGAAAAGTATTTCAGGAAAATAACTTGCATTGTTGCAAAAGACACATGACAGTTTAAATTAACTGAATTATAAATCACATTAAAACACGGAAATATTTTTAAAATATGTTTAGATTCGGTTTTATCTATATTCTACGCCAACAAGGGTAAGGTTAGTTTTGGATAATGCAGGTAGAAATGGAATGTAGAAGATTGCTGCATTCAAGGTAACTTTCCTCTAAACAAACATAGCATTGAAAACAAACAAATCCAACTTAAGCCTGCAACAACCAACCAAGAACTCTACCTTTGTTGGTTCATATTTTAAAAGCTATTATTTGTGGGGGGAAATGTTATTTTGTATACCCTTTGAACATTAGCATCAATGTTTTCCATCTCCCATAACATGCCAGACCTTTGTCCCTGACCCAGGGTAATGTTCCATCTGTCCAGTAAATGGTCTGTAAAAAAAGCAAACAGGTAAACAAACAAATAAATGAAAACAAAAAACCTTCCTCTCAGTTTGGGTTACCCCAAGTACAAAATCAAACTCTCCATGGAAGAAAAAGGTAAGCATCTGCAGAGGAAAACTTGAGAGAGAGGAATAGAAAAGAGGAATTCTGAAGCAATACAGAAAGAAGAATACAGAATGTGTGTGTGTGTGTGTGTGTTTGTGTGAGTCTGTGTATCTTGGTGTACGCAATACAGAGAAAACAAAATATGCTAGGAACAATACAAAGGAATATAATCTCTCAGTAGGTTTTCAATAGGCTTGTGTTCTAACAATCTTATCACCCAGATGATTTCACATTGCGTACCTATAATCTTATTAGAATTCAGTCCCATCTTCCTAACCATTTTTATATGTTTTACAAAGCAAAATAAAACGGGTCCTGTTCAGCACCGAGGGCTGTTTCAATGAACCTTCTACTACCCCCACGGGCTGGGGACAAAATACAATACGTGTCATGACATCACCATGGAAGGCATGTGACTTACATCATTGGAACAGATGCTGGTGCCAATGCATAACTGAATTATTTGAACAGGGACATCCTCATACCTGTCATCATCACTGGATGTGCTGCAGTGTATTGGCCCCATAGAAGACTGGTGAGCAGCTAGTGCTTATTCCCTTTTGTACATACAGGAAATACCTGCACCGAAAGGATTAGCCAATGAAGGCCCTCTTGTGTATCTCAAATTCCTCCACAGGGCACATAGAAGTTTTATTTAACAGAGCTTTGCGAATTGTACCGTGGTGTTTTATTTGATTGCTTCTTATCTGTATTCCTACTTGCTGCTATTAAGTTAAAGCAGAGGCACCAGCTCTCTAATTTAACACCTGCCAAGGGAAGGAGAATAATAGATACCTAAGAGCTATCTGCTGATAAACAGAGGGGCATTCCTAAGACATTGACAGGATGTTATCACAACATCCCCAGGTGCTCTCTGCCCACCAATTTTGCATCAAAATTGCATCAATCAAAAAAATTGAACATTGATTCATGGGTTGGGGTGAGAATTGTTTGTACCGGCTATAAGTAAGTTATTTTAGAAAAGTCCTTCCCACGCTGGGATCCCAATACAAATTTATTCCTATGAACAAATGCCATTTGTAATCACAAACAATTCTCCCCAACACACAAATAAAACCTTTTTGTTCAGTCAGCTACAATCTGGGTCCTTATTTTGCTGACTTTGGAAGGATGGAAGGCTGAATCAACCTTGAGCTGGTCAGGATTGAACTCCTGGCAGTGAGCAGAGTTAGCCTACAATACTGCATTTTAACCACTGGCAGTGAGCAGAGTTAGCCTACAATACTGCATTTTAACCACTGTGCCACCACGGCTCTTATAATGGTATGTGGGAAAGACCTTGGGAGATAGGGTGAAGAGATGCTGGATATTGGGCAGAGCTACAGGCTCAAAAGGGACCCTCCCCAATTTCTTAGGCTTTAAATGAAACAGAAGACCATAAAGTTGCAAGACTGTTAATGTAGCTTTACAATAAAGTAGAATTAGCTTATTTGGTCGTGTTTCCTGTCTGGTTTATCCGGTAATGCTGACATCAATTTTACAAGTCTCAAAGTACAATATCCTGCCATCTTCTTTATAGCCCAAGAAACTAGGAAGGGTCTGCGATTTTTGCCCTGCTCACTATCAAGTTGGGGACCATGCTGTCTCTTAGGCAGCATTTCCTTATTCCATACTCTCCCATAGCGGCTTTCCTACATACTGTTACAGATTCCAAGGACCTTCCATTTTTGATCCTGGATGGGTGCACTGCCTTACCCAGACCTTGTGCAGTTTGGGGGATCCTCCTAGACATTTGGGAGGTAACTGAGGAGCAGCTGTGGCTAGGAAAGCCTTTGCTCAACTTTGGGTCCCAATAGACACACAAAAAAAAGGAGAGAAAGAATACATATGCACACACACATCAATTTCACCCTGTTTGTTTCATTTGCTTTTTTGCAAGAGAAACTACAAAATGTTTCAGTTAACATTTTCTTATAAGACCTAAGTCAGGAAAAGAGCTCAAGCAAGAATCCCCTCAAACCAAGAAAAAGATGCACTCAAATTTTAACAGACCCTAGCAGTGCAAAGCTTTAGCGATCCCTGTTAGATCACAACGTAGGCACAACTGTTTTGTAGACTAATTTTATTCATCACTAATAAGGTAAGCCAGTGAGAACCGGTTCACTAAATCCTGAACTCTGCTGTCTCCCCCTGAAGTTAAACAGTGAAGTAGGCGCTTGGGGAAAGGGATGGTCCTTGAATTTCTCCCGAAAGAACAGCTGTTGTATGGAAGGCAAAGAAAAAATCAAAACGTACCCCAAATCCTAGCTTGAAAACTTCTAGGACAAAGATAGAAATCTAACAGTTTTACAAGTTAAAGGTTGGTAACCTATTCATAAGGCTTATACTTCTGCAGCCTTTAGGTTTAGTTTAAGGTACCCCCATATATTTCAGGTACTAGAAAGGGAAAGACATTTTTGTTATTTCCCCTTTTCTGCTGTAACTCGGATTGGGAATGGATGGGAAGGTAATGGCAGCAAATTGCCAGTTGAAGGCAAGCATTACAATCTTAATTGTCCTGGTTGGGTGGGGAATGCTTATATGGAACCCATACAATAAAAGAACTAACTTTGCAGAGGTTCAACCATACAGAAACTGAGCTGGAAATAATTAACTCAAATCTCCAACACCACTGATCTTGTATGAATACAGAGACCTGGTTTCAGAGTGGTGCACAATCTAGAATATGCTCCTGTTGGAGGTAAGGTCTGCCCCATTCTCCCAGTCTTCTGGAAAAGCCTGAAAACTTGACTTGCCACTTGACCTGGAGACCTGATAGGGCCTGCTACTTTGGGAGTGGCTAATGAGAAGGAGGGACTCACCGGAGAAGAGCCTAATGCTGGGGACAATTGAGGGCAATAGAAGAAGGGGACGACAGAGAATGAGGTGGCTGGATGGAGTCACTGAAGCAGTAGGCGTAAGCTTAAATGCAGTCTGGAGGATGGGAGAGGACAGGAAAGCCTGGAGGAATGTTGTCCATGGGGCCACGATGGGTTGGACACGACTTCACAACTAACAACAACAAAAATGGGGTGGAGATGATCCCTACCCTAGGCCACCTATTATCTTCATTTTTAAGTTTTTCTCCTAATTTTAATTGCTCTGTTTTCTTTTTTACTTTTTAATTATATTGTAAGCCACCTAAAGGTGCTGCATTCGTGAGAGGGGTGGCCTAAAAAATTAATTATTAATCCTCCTCTTCGTCAAAATAGTTCCTTGGACAATAGCATGATGTTTGGATTACATGATTTTATAAAACAGAATCATCTGCTTCTTTACATTGCTTGGCTGGGGATATGAAAGCCAAAAAGCTTTGCTACTTATGTTCTAATTTGTATTATATTCTACTGGGGATGAGTCAGACCTCTTGATTTTATTGCTCAAAGTGCTTATCTGTTTGGGTGCAGGTGAAAAGCAAGATGCATGCCACATCTGTACCCAGCAAACAAGCCACAATATTTATTGGTAGCAGCATGTTTTGACTCACAATGAATTGCAAGATGCGTAGGCTGTATTAGAAGCCACTATCCACCTTCATTCGAACAACATGCTATATTTCTCCTCTGGTTTTGTCAGCTTTGCAAGTAGCATAGCTTTCACCTTTCAAACCACACCTTCAGTTTGCTCAGCTTAATCTCATAAAAGATCTCAGAACAATACTGCTCTGTTGATTTTTTTTCTTTATTCTTAAAAGATAAGGTTTTTATTTGCAATGTCATTTGTTTTATGTGGTTTGGAGGAATTTTTTATGGGAAAGGGTGGACAACAGGGCTTTTCAATTCAAAGACAATTTTTACTCCTCCCCAGCTGAATGAGAAATGCAGGAGGGGGAACAGAAAGCAAACTCTTAGCTTTGGGTTCAAATCATAGGTGCACCAAATTTGGACATTAACATTTCCACTGCTACCTTGAAAGTATGTCTTATTTTATTTGCCACACAGACACAAAAAAGGATGTAGGTTTCTCCCACTGAGGTGTACATTCAGTTCCTCCAATTGATGGGTATGCTTTGGCACCAATAAGTCATGTCCTCACCCTTTCTCTAGTGCAATTTGCTCTATATGGAGCTTCCTTTGACGATAACTTGCACACTACAGCAAAATGCATCTGTCACAGATGGAAGCTGTTACAGCTGGATAATCCTTATAGTGGCGAAGCTCGCCTTGTTCACAAGTTTGCTTTCAGGTGCTCATTATTATCTTTATCTATATTTATAAAAATGGCTATGTGTGTGTATGTTCCAGCATAACTCTGGGACGCCTAGAACAATTTCAACCAAACTTGAAATGACAGATGACTTACTCTTTGGAAACAAATACTGTGGGGGTAAGATACCCCTAATACCCCTTGGGGGTGGGGGTGTTCTGTTAAGATACAGCCTGTACTGCCGTAAAATGACTTCTAGTGTACTGTCGTAAAATGGCTTCTACTGTATAGCGCAGTGGAGTTGCCATGGTAATGGCTTCACAGTAGTCCACAAGGGGGCTCTTTCTGGTAAGGGGGAAAATCCAACATTAGAAATTACATTGATCCGGACATTTGTGAATGTCTAATACCCTGGCAATGCCGGGTTAACAGCTAGTTCCCTATAAAACCCTTTAATACCCAGATTTTGGTTACAGTGAGACCCTACAGAATAAAATCTGCCTGTCCAATATGAGCTAACCAAAGTACTATATCCCATATAAGGTGGGTGGAGGCCCAGGGACTTGTTATTTGCAACCCCCTCCTTTGGAAATAACTTACCTCTTCCTGAGATCGCAATGGCTCTTTCCTCACTGAGGGTCATTAAGGCACTTAAGAAGGCTCTTTTCTATAACTGAGGACAATGTTCTTGTGTGTCTGGTTTTAGTGGCAGAATTATTGCTGGCCACAGGCTGAGATATATTCATTGACAGGTAATGTGGATATGATTTTATGCCCTTTAGAGTATTCTTTTACTGGACTCTTTGGTTTGATGTTTTTTTTTTGGTTTGACATTTCTTAAGTTGGGAATTGCCTTGCGTTGTTGATGGGGGTGACATCTAGAAGACTACCATAAATTTAAATATATACTTTCAGCTCTGACGGGAATAAAAAACAAGAATGAAAGTGTTCTTTTTCAATTTCTGCTTCTCTTCATACACAAAGAGGCTCTCTAATCTTCAGGAGAAGATCTACGGTTGACAAGCCTGGCTGGCTCTTATAATTTATCATCTGTTTTTGGCCTCATTCATCCTGTTTGTTATTTACAGATATTAGTCCACGAGTCTTCAGAGAAAAGAGAGATTGAACAAACTCAAGGCAGGAAACAATGATCTTCAAAGTGTTTATCTAACTGTTTATTCTCAGGAAACCGATATGAAGAGCCTATTCATAATATAATTAGTCCCAGGATGATTCAGATTTTAAAGATCATTATTCTGGAGGCAAACAACATCGGCTCAACTTCAGGCAGGAATTTGAAGACCAAACTGAACTCAACTTTACCATAGAAGAAAAGTATCACTAATATGATAGCTCTTTATTACACAAAGTACAGAAATGAAATATTAAAGTTTATTGATTGGCGACTGAAACAACTGTTTGGTGACAGCTGTGGGTACCAATGACACAACAAAAGTAATCCTGTTTCTGTTAATGGGCTAGATAGAAGAAAATGGGCTGGGTACATGGCCCCAGACAGCACAATCACCTAGGCTAAACATGCCTTCAGTGCTTCTACTACTACTACTACTTGCTACTAATCTTACCACTACTATTGCTACCATCAATAACTACTGCTGCTACTAGAAGCCTAGATACTGTCTATTTCAAAAGAACGATACTTACAGGAAGTTTGTACCCCTGATAGTTATTAATTAAGTCTTGAATGAAGGGGTGCTTCAAAAGGAGTTTAATTTTGATGGGCTTCAGATCTTCAGAGCCAAGATCCTGGTATACCTTAATAAAATGCTTTAAAAATAAATGAAGAGAGTTTATTTTATTAGTAAATGAACCAACTGGAAAAAAAACAAGCAACGTATGCAAATACTGCTGTAGAAGGATGAGTGTCATGATAAGGTCACTTTTTCAGCTTCATAACTTGATCATTAATACTGAAGTAGTAAAAGGAGTGACTTTTCTGGCCAGCACTGATATTGCTACAAGACCTAGTTGTTGCTTGGAAGATCTGGTAGGAGAGCACATTTCAAGACCCACAAATCCTTACTTGTAGCATAGAATACTACAGTACAATCTTTAAATTAATCCTGTAATTCTGTCTTCACTGTGAGTTGTATTGTGTTGGCGCGTGTGTGTGTGTGTGCGTGTGCTCAACCAATCTCAGGGTACATACGTTATTTGCACTGACAAATAAATAATTGTTATTATAATAATTATTAAATCAGACATCAATTTTTATGGAAACATCCCACAACAAAGCAGGTATCATTCAATAAAAGCCATTATCAAATAAAGGCTTTACAATTGCAAATGTAATATATCATGATCAGGAGGAATTCTTAAGCTATCCTTGGAGAGGCAGGGCATGAAAATGCGAAACATAATTTAGTCAACAAAACTCTTACCATGCTTTGTTAAATTTTAGTTAGATTATTGTTGACCCAACAGAACAGTTTTACTAATGAGTTCCAACGGGGTAAAAATAAATAAAAAGACTGACAATCTCATCTACTACATGTACGTCACTCTGCATAGCTCTAATACTAAATCACAGCCTCTCCATTTGTGCAAATACATATTTTTCTTCCCTTCAAGAGCTCTAACCTGATCCTATTTCATAAAAAGAACAATGCCACTCAAACTTACCCCATTTCCTTAAATGTCAATAATTGAGATATTGCTTGCTACAAACATTGGGATAAAAGAAGTATATAAATATACAATTAATGGAGCTATGAGCTAATTAACCAACCTCATAATTATCCTCTTCTGTCAGTTGACTACTAAATCTGTGATTGTCATAAGCTTTGTTTGTTTCATACTGGAATACAAGGAGAAGTGTAGCCAGAGAGATGTATCCATCATTGCCAATAGACAGGTCATCCTCTTCTTTTTCCTTCTCTTCCTTCTCTTCCTCCTCTTCTTCTTCCCCTTCTTCACCAGCCTCCTCCTCTGCCTGTTCATCCTGAGCAGCAGTGGTTATGAGTTGCTCAGCAGATGTTACAAACTAAGAAAGACAAACCAAAGATAACATAAAGTGTTTTTTTGGGCGGGTGGGGTATAGATAGTTTCCTAATGACCAATTGCAAGGTATGTGACTGTCAGAAAGAGCACCAGCTTTGAACACCTACAATAAAGCTAGCCAGGAGGTTGCAATTTTCTCTAACTAGATGTTCTCAGATTCTCACTGTTTGTATCTCATATTCAGTACATATTCTATACATATGTATAGAGGATTGTGTGTTTGTTAGTATGATTTACTGGGTTATGGATTTTCTTTCTGTCTGTCTGTCTTTTTTCACTGTGAGTTATTGAGACGTATTTGTACATGTTAAAATTAAATATGTATATTGAAAAGGAATTATAAATACCATCAACATAAAATGGAGCTTGCTCAGAAGCTGAAATACACCAAGTAAATGAGATGAAGAGTGGGAAGTAGAGGAGAGAGGTAAGGGAAGAAGAGAGGGATAGGAGAGGGGGCAAGGGGGGAAGAGGAGGAGAGAAAGGAGGAGTGGAAAAAGAGAAGGAGAGAGGTAAGGGAAGAAGAGAGGGATAGGAGAGAGGGCAGGGGGGAGAAGAGGAGGAGAGAAAGAAGGAGTGGAAAGAGAGAAGGAGAGAGGTAAGGGAAGAAGAGAGGGATAGGAGAGAGGGCAGAGGGGGGAAGAGGAGGAGAGAAAGAAGGAGTGGAAAGAGAGAAGGAGAGAGGTAAGGGAAGAAGAGGGGGATAGGAGAGAAGGCAGAGGGGGGAAGAGGAGGAGAGAAAGAAGGAGTGGAAAGAGAGAAGGAGAGAGGTAAGGGAAGAAGAGAGG